ATCTATAAGTAAATATTGGGAGAAAATTCCATAGATAGGTAATTTTTTGTCTGAGTAACAGGGAAAAGTCTTAGCTATAATCTCTGGTGGTGCCCATTATTAAGCATAATTTGGAGTGTATAAAGAGAAGTACAAATGCATTGGGTTTTGATCCAGATTAAGTTAGCCATGCTTTAGTCTCAGCCAAATCAATCATACAAGTTGGTCATTACTAAATTTAGCCTCATTGGCTTCTATGAGAAGAAACCATAACGAATGTAGCCTGGATCCAACCCCATTATAGATAACCACATAAACAAAGGGAAACCCCCAAAGTATTCACTACACAGTCAGACAATGTTGGTAAATCAAAATCTTAAACTCAATGCAATCTCACACTTCACGAAAGCCAGGGAAGCATTTGATGGAAGTAACATTTTACTGATTCTCCTTAAGGAAGTCATGCTCAGAGGAAGGTAAAAGGAGTGAGGGGAGCAGGGAGCCTAAAGAGGGCAGAAGACACACTAGCCTCCTTCCCTCTTCTTGAGAGGCACCAGCCAGATGGGCAAAGGGCCTCTAAGTGAAAATGCAGAACAGGAGGCAAAGAGGGCCTCTGCTACGCCTGCACTGGAAGCCCAGAAACCAGTAGAGGCGAGGCACTTTTGTAAGACTTCATCCTGCAAAGGGACTGCTATTGTTATGCTGAAAACAGAAGGCAAACCATTTGTCCTCAGCTGGTGCACAACCATTATCAGTATTATTATGAATGCTCTTAAATGGAAGCTCCCATCTATAATTTGGCATACCGTGCTGCAAAGCATTAGTTTACACTCCAAGGCAGGGATGTGGAACTGCCGCCCTGCAGGCCATTCTCCAGCCATTCTGGGATCCCAGTAAAACCTCCAGGCTATCTTGGTGGATACACTTCCGATTGATGGCTGCGTTCCTGGCTCCTGCCAATCAGGTGGTTCATTGAACCCCTACCTACTAATGTCAGACGGCACTGGGGAAGATAGGAGTCATGCTGTGTACCCTTCATGGGCTCCCATTTCATGGTGGTCATTTCTTCGTGGTATAATATCTCACCACTAGCAAAGAAGTGCTTGGATAGGTGGGTCATCCACTATCCCCACTGGACAGGCAATGCCCAGGTGGGAAGGATCACGCGCTCATACACTCACTCACCACAGGCACCAGGATCCTTCTATCAGGAAGAAATGGCTTCCATGACACTCTGGGTGCATGTGAAGAGTGCTGCAGCATCCTGTCCACTGCCCATGGATGGTTCCCCTCCCGAAAGGCAGGCAAAGTCATTTCTCTACTGGGTCGTTTACTGCAATCTGGCTCCCAAAGGCACCATTTGCATGCCCAGTGTGAGGTGCTCATTTCAGAGCCATGAACCAAAGATGTGTTTTGCCCAAATATCACAACATGCAAGAGGAAAATCCAAAGTGCAGGCATGGAAAAGCAAAGCGTAGTTTCTTATCCTTTGGGAGGGTTTTCTCCTTCTTACAAAAGGTAAAGTGAGAGCCAATGTGGCGTAGTGGTTAAGAGCACGGGACTGGGACTCAGAGGATCCGGGTTCTAGTCCCCGCTCGGCCATGGAGCTAACTGGGTGACTTTGGGCCAGTCACAGCCTCTCAGCCCAACCTACCTCAGAGGGTTGTTGTGGGAATAAGATGGAGGAGGAGAGAAGATGTAAGCTGCCTTGAGCCCTTTGTAGGAAAAAGGCAGGATATAAATCGCACTATAAAATATAAAAAATAAATAAAGCGAACCAGATTTAATATAATAAGGAGCAATCAGGACATCCCTTCAAAAAATAGATTGATTTTGTATTAGGAGAAAAGGAGTCTTATGGTTTGGCATTTATCTGGGCCTCAGCCTCCTGGACGTCATCCTTCTTCCTGCCCCTAGCTCATTTCCATATCCTTCTTGACATCCTGGTTTAAACCAAACTATAGAATGCCATTACAGCTGAGTTGGCAAACTATGCAGAATTGGAGACCCAGTTCAAACCGTGCATTTGGAGGCAAAGCACAAACCGTCATCTGATGAATTAGGAAATCAAGATGGAATTACGAGCAGGGCATGAGGACAAAGAAGGAAATCCTGGAGCTGGTTCTCTTAGGAATGGCAGCTGTTAGATCAGTCATTCTCAACTTGGTGCCCTCCAGATGTCTTGAACGAGGGCTCTTATCATTCCCCGGCCATCATAGTCAGTTGGAATCATGGGAGCTGTAACTGAACACACCCAAAGGGCAGCAGGTTGGAGAAACCTATTTCAGGCTATAGGCCCCCTTCCCTTCTATAATTTCACGTGACTAAAATATCTGCTATTTCCTGGACCCTTGAAAGAAATTTGAGGATATGAGAAAGTAAATGTTTATCAAACCTTAACATTACTACCCAGACTGTATGCCAGTCCCCTCTAATATGTACACACACACACACACACACACACACACACACACACACACACACACACACAGAGAGAGAGAGAGAGAGAGAGAGAGAGAGAGAGAGAGAGAGAGAGAGAGAATGCTTCAAGTGTACCTCACCCTGTAGGACAAGAGAGAAGCACCTCCTTCTTAGAGACTGTGCTTGGCCCTTATTTCTACATAATGACCACAGAGCACAATTTATCGAGTGGTAACTTATCACTGGAGAACTATTCACTTGCCCACGTGGTGAGAATAGGTATGCATAATGGCTTCCCTGAGCAGATTGTTTGTAGATATCACATGAATGCTGATCTCCTCCTGCCACACCTAAAACACAATATTCATAGATGATTTGTATATCTCTTTTCCGTGGGGGGAGGGGAGATTGAATGACTCATCTGTATATACCGTTGTATATACAACAAGGGTAAATGCTTTAGGTAGGCATCATAGGCTAAGATGATGGTGAGAGAACACAAACATGAGTGCCTCTGTCCAGCAGACACTTTTCCAATATGAGGGCAGAAGCTAGACATGCCCACGTACTCCTTCAGTTTGCCCTTGGGTTTTCTCATAGCACTGTGCTGAACTGAAGTAAGCTTCATCTGTGATGCAATACTGTATCATGTTCCTTGAGCATTTGTTGACTTTTGTAGAAAATTCAGCAGGGTCCATTATATTTCATTATTCGAGGGTGCTGTATGGCAGACTAGATGCTTGCTAGGCATGACATGACCAGATAGGTGGGACCACATTTTGCCCAAATCCAAGAGTTGGTTTTTGGTTTGAAGGCAACATTAACAAACAATGAGCGCTGCTGTCTGCATCACAGCTGGGCAAGGGAGCCAGAGAGTCTCCAGCTCCTGAATGTAGCGCTGGCCCCAGTGACATGCTGGTCGTCAGGGGGAGCAGCTTGTCTGCCTCCTCATGTATCGATGACGAGGCGTGTATTGAGCCATGCCTTCCCAAAAAAACCTAAAAAGCTCCTTTTAGGAAAAGTAAAGGCCTTTTGTGAAATATAGAAGAGGGGGAGTTGTGAATATAGTGGTTGATCTTCATGATGGGCACAACAGTCACGCCATGTCTGCAGCTGGTGAGCCCTCAGTCAGCCCTCCACTGTTCTCATTCAACCGCTTGCCTCATGTGGGTAGTGCAGTCAGTGCGGCTGCTGTTGCGTTGTGAGCATGTGAAGAGCAACGGTACTTTCTCAGCCTAGCAGCTCTTTCCCCCACCCATTCTATGTACCCCACCCATGCCAGATTCAGAGATGCCCTTCATTAGAATGTGTGCTTTGTGAGAAGGGAACCAGGATTAGAAGGAGAGCTTCTTTTACTGCTTGTATATCATGTCCTTCAAAACACTTAGCTGACTATTTCATATCGAATAACTTTTTGCATTAACTCTTTTATCCCATTGGGTTCATTTTATTTATCTCACTCTAGGAGTCAATGAAGAATACTAATTGTCTTGAACAAGTTTGGATATGTGTTTCAATTTACCATGGGAATGGAATATATGAGCACTTTATCCACCACCCCTTTAGTTCAAACATTGCAGGTTATCTGCCATGTCCATCCAGCTTTCTCAATGTAATAAGCATTGTGCAACCGAGGGACTCAATACCGTACCCATCTGTGCTGCATCACTCCAAGGAAATATATTCACTCCTTTGAACAGAGTACTTTTATGCCTGGTGATTTGTCCTTGGCCAAAACTCCCCTACCAAAGTGTGCCATTTTTCAAGTATGTTCTCCCTGTACTAATCTGTAAGAAGGGCACTTCAAAGTGTTCTGGGATTGTGAAGCAAGTCACACAGAAAAAAAGAACCTGCTCTCACAGAAACATGCAAATTGCAGTGCAAACACTGAAGAAGCCACCTTTATCATTTGTGATGTACATTTGTTTTCAAATTCCCTCCGCTGCTTGTTTACCCTGTGCTGCCATGGAAGGGGTGGGGTGGATGAGTATGTCATTGAAGACAACTTCAGCAATGGATTCCATTGTAAAGAATCCATGTTCTGCTGTCATATTTCCATTGCGTCCTCTGTCCTTGTCTGTCTAAAATGTGTGCCACCATTTTGTTTACACCAAAATGGAAAACAAATCAGAAGCAACTTGTATAAGGATTATTTTCCAAGCATGCATTGGAAAAGGTATAAATCAGCAAAGCTAGAATGTACTCAAAAGCCACAAAACAACTAATCATTAGTGCCAATTTCCAAAGTGCTGTGAATTCAAGGATGTTTCATGAAAGATAATTTGGGTGCCATCTTACGTCATGCTAAACATAATCACATTTCTAATTGCAGACTTCTGCTCAGAGCTAGGAGCTAATACTACCTTCTTTCTAACAAGCTAACATTCTGTTTTCCCCTTTCACTTCTTTTTTTTAAATATATAATAATAATAATAATAATTTTGGTGCACTGCACACCACCAGTGTACCTACAACAGATGTGCGGCGTCTTCCTTTTTCCTTTTCTCTATCTCCACATAGTTGTTGAACCCTACCAAGAGATCTCATTCCAATAAAGCTATTCTTAGTGTTTCAATAGCCTTCTGCTTATATGTTTGAAGATTCGAAACTGAATGGGGAGGTGGCCAAGGCGGCGCTGGCAAATGAAGACTGTCCCCACATAGACCAGGCTATGTCACCCGAGGAAGGTCTGCCCTTTACCCGTTCTGGCACTCGGGAGAGATATGGACCTTGCTTCCTCTTATCAACCGGGGAATATTCCTGCCCGCCTGATGGAGGAATAAGAAAGGGTATGTAGATGAGGTCCTGTAATCACATAGATAGAGGCATAGTTTTAAGAGATTAAATACGTTCTAACAAATAGCAAGCTTCTTTTATATATTAGCTTTTTGCACTAAAATATAACAGCCTGATGCCTGCATTTTAAGTTAATCAGTACATCTGGGCTACAAACAGTGGTTCCCAAACTTTTTCATCTGTGTGCCCTTCACAAGTAGCATCACCTGTCCTGCAAATCCAACAGGCACCTGCACCAGCCCTCGCAGGGCTCCACCTCAGCTCCCTCCCGTATTGTTCTGAGATTCCCTCAGCCAATATGGCACCAAGTCCTTTACTGCCACAAAATAACTTGGCCCTGTTTTAGCTTCTACCACCGTCTTTGCCTCCTTTGCTGTGTGACTGATAGACAAGATGATGTAAACATCTTCAACAGAAATGTGGAGGTTCCAAGAAGCTCCACCTGAAGGTCACCTGTGGGAATCCCGGTCCTTTATAAATAGGGTTGTTGTTATTTTAAATTACATTCTCCATGACAAGTGATCATGCCCCAAAGGGTTCATGTACCCCAGTTTGGGAACCACTGAGTTGAGGAAGCATCAAAAGCTACATTATATGCACTTCTACATCAAGCAGAATTGTCTTTCATGCTTGTTTACTTCATTAAGTGCCAGCAGGGAGTCATCTGCAGTAGCCTTAACTGCTTCCACTGCTCCCCAAGACATGTAGGAGATTCCTCTATGGAAATAGTTGATAGACAGCAGCATTTTGGGAAAAACAGGTGTATCAGAACGATCATTTGGCCACCTCTGTCTTTATATGGCATTTAAGGTAATATTCTAGGACAAGCAGCATTATTAACTCAATCAAAGGCCCACCATCACCTCAATTAATTTGACTTTGCCATTGTTAGTTTTTGTTACTGTGACCTCTTGCCAGTTTCCCTGGAAAGTTTGATTCAACTTTGTGACAGTATCCACTGCACCTGTGACTGATGTAAAAACGAGAGGGATCTACACAAAGCCAGTGCAGACCATGGCTTATTCAAGCTGCTAAATAAAGGGCAACAAAACTCCAAATCTGATAAGATTTAGAACAATAAACTGCCATGTAAAGCCATGTCTAAAATGTGGTATACGCCCCAGCCTGCTAACTTCAGCATACATACATTCTGGTGTGCCCCTGGAGTTTCATGTGAACCTTTGATGAATTCTCTGTGCTATATCCCCTGCCCCACCCAAATAAAGTGGATAGAGCAACCCTTGGTTACGCTGTGTTTGGGTGACACCCCAACCAGCCATTGTCTTGGATTGTGGCCATAGATTGTAACACTATGTATTAAGAAACTGCAGAGACTGTAGGGGGGAATCCATGGCACAGGACAGAGCTCTGCAGAAATTGCTGGATGTGTTGCTTGTTGGTTAAAAAAGAGAAAGAGAAAGAATTCTAGGCTAAATGTCAGTGGTAGAAATAGAGCATACATCATTATAATTTTAAAGCTTATTAATGATAAGATATAGTAGTATCACTGTACTTTCATGTGAAAGTATTTCTGCTAAAATTTACCTTTGTAGCAAAGTGTTTTATATCTGATTCTGTATTGGATAGGCATTGGCCATTTTCATTCAGCTGGAGACTTTGGTTGGTTCCTGCTTCAGTGCATGATGGGACTGCCTCAATGTGGCACCTCTTTGGGGAGGAAAAATGTGCAGTTCCCATAATGCACCTCAACAGGAACCAGGCTCTGCCTGTTGACTGAAAGTAAGGCCAGCTGGCTAAAGCATAAATGTCAGCATATTGTTGGCCTGTTTGGAAAAAATATATATGTAGAGAAGATCTTAAATGTTTCTTTCAACTGAATTTCATTTCATAGAGTGTGTAAGCGTGTCTATAACTTGCTGAGCTGTTTTGTGCATGTCTAAAACTGGCAGAGAGGGATAAAGGAAACAAATGCATGCAAAAGTGCTGGTAAACAAACTGAGTAGTATCTCTACAGCAACAGAATGAATGCTTTGGATTCTGGGTAATGGTGGGGGTGATAAAGACATTTTTGAGGGGCCTTGCTCTTCAAAAAATGCCAGTTCAGTAGAATCGCATAGAAAACACTGATGTTTGCTTATTCCAACTGCTTTATTGTAGTAGAGGGTGACCCTCCAAGAGAAAAGATCTCTCTCTCTCTCTGTCTCTCTCTCTCTCTCTCTCTCTCTCCCCCCCCTCCCCCCCCACACCATTTTCTGATTGTTCTGGCACGGCCATGTTGCAAGGGATACTACTCTCGGCATGTCAAAGCATGAGGATGCTACTGATCTGGCTACTTTGGTGACCATTCTGTTGTTGATCCAGTGCTGTATTTTTGCATTTTTTTCCCTTTGAAACAAAGGTTATGAAATGCCACAGAGCCTTAACAGCATTGCTGGCATAAATGGAAAAGCATTCGAATTATCCTCAAACCCTGCACCTTACAGTTCTCCTAGCCCAGTGAGACACTGATGGTCTCCCATCCCATCCATTTTGTAGCATGGATCAGTAGCAGAGAATGGTCTAAATAATCATAATGCTAAAAAGGAAGAAAAAGAAAAGCAGTTCTTTCTAATTAGCCGATGCAGTGCCACATCTAAGCAAATGACGATCTTTGGAAAATGTCATGTCTCTCGGTAGCATCTCATGGTGATGGTGTTACTACCAGGTTTAGTAACACTTGCATTGTCCACATTCTTGATAAGTAGTGTGGAGATGACACTAGGTGGGCATTAGTAGCTTCGGTGGGCCATAAAACTGCATGATATCGGTACATAAGACACTAAGGTGGATGCACCATGTAGTTTTCTCAAATGGTGCACCATGCTGGTATGTGCTTTTCTTGGCTAATAGTGGATCCAATGGCTCTTATGGAATGGGTTAGGCATATCGTGTAATGCTGAAACTTGCCAACAATGGAAGATTTTGCTTTTCTCAGGATATTTTTGAGCCATAGGAACCCTGCAGGAGTTTGAGCAAAACACACGCAGTAAGATGAAACTTTGCATGGGCATCTATTCTATGTTGAAAGCAATAAGATACACTATAGAGAGGTCTTTAGCTGTCTGGCTGGCTGCATGGGAAAAAAGTACTGGTGGAGAAGAAACCTGGCTGCCTCTGCATGTAGCTCTTTCTACCTTAGCCTTCCTTCCTTTAAAACACCCAGCTTGGTTTGAAAAGCACAGGAGAGAAGCTCAAGTATTGATTATATTCTTTACATGCAGATCTTTGCAAAGAAAGGCCTGTCATTGCTAAATATATGCCAACAGAGGCAGTCAAAGTGACTTGACCTGGAGAGAACCAGATGGACAATGATGGCCTATAAGCGTCTGGGTGAACTGTGCAGGCATAGAAGACCTCCTCATTTGGACAAATGTAATCTCACTCCATGCAAGTTTGCAGGATGATTTTATGTGGTTTCAGAGATATAAAGTAGATTTGCAGGCTTTTTCTATGGCCAAAATGTAACAAATGGTAGACATTTTTGTTGTTGTTGTTCCATAGCATGAATTGCATGAAAAACAAAACAAAAACAACCCTGCAACTGTATGAGTAACTTTAAAGGGGTGGGGTGGGGAAAGACAAAGCGATATATTTTCTTTCAAAGCTCTTTACTTTTACATACGTTGTTGTAGCCAAACTGTAAAATGTTCTAAAATAGTACATTCCTTTGCTATGGATTACTTCATTTTGTATACAAGATAAAAAGAGTGAATGGTTTTAAAAGTGCAATTGGGCGGTCATATTGACCATGCCTTCATAAATCCATCACACTGACATGAAAAATGCAGAACTTTTCATTCAACTAGAATTGTGTAAAATGTACAAACAACCTTTTTTCCTGTCTGTTTTTGTTGGCATGCTTGTGAAACATGGGACCAATTCTTGGACCTGATGGTAACAGCTGGTCTAGATTTAATTTTCCAGCTCTGGTTATGTTGTACTTTATTGGTGTATAGACCCAATGTGAAGACCCCTCATAACAAATGGTTCATATTAAGTAATCAGTATTGGATTTTATTTTTTTAATCAAAAACAATCTGGGATTTACATATACAAATCAGGAAATTACTCAAGTACAAACTTGTCTCAGAGTTTAAGAAACAAGACAATGGCATTGTATGCAATTTAGAACTTCTGAGTAAAATGCATGCACAATGTTATGCAAAATAATTCTAGCATGAAATAAATTTTGTATCATTGTTTCAATGCCTGCTGTATAGTGTAAATCAGAATTCTTTTTCTGAAATGATCAGGGGTTCCCAGGATACGCTTCTGAAATCGTGAATACATGCCAGACTCCCAGTGAAAATAAAAGAAAGAAGAAGCTCACTTTGGTTTTGCTTCTAAAATGGCAAAACTGGTGAGCAATAATCTAGTGAACCCCCAATTCTGTGATACATCTCATGTTCTCAGTCTTCACAGCACTAATAAATATAACAAGTAGAAGGTAAAACCTAGAGAGTTCTGTAGGTCTCTCTCTCTTTTTCTCCCTCTCTCCTTTCCCCCTTAATAATAAAAGTTTGGCTTTTTAGTTGATCATGTGAATTCAGTTTTTCTTACTTCTGTCGTTCTCTTAAATTTTCCACTTTGCAACTGCGGCCCACTTCCTGTAAGCTTTTAGAAAGGATCTTCAGTTAAAAGGAATGCACAGTTTACCTGGTTATGTCTTACGTTGCCCAATAGAGGAGGCTGTAATGGAGATTCATGGGTGGTGGTCACGTCCTGTCCTTTCCAAGTCAAAGAACAAAATATATAGATTACTATCAGAATCATTTTTGTAGCTAAAACAAGTGCAGTGTTTCTTCTAGGGTTATAAATTCACCATTGTAATCTGTCCGCTTCCCAGAAAGAAGGCAAGGCCTCAAGGCAAGGGACAAAGGCTAAAGAAAATGGACTTGGTCGTAAGAAATACCTAAAAATACAACTGTATTTCTTGCTGTACTCTACCCTTAAAGGTTAATAATAGGTTTGGCCAATTTAAAAAGGAATGTGTAGCCTTACATTAAAAAGAATTCAAAGGCCAAACTACTGTGCCAATCCTGTGGCTACTAGACAGGAGTCTAGACAACCATTAGGATAATTCTGGGTCCCACTGCCAGACTCCGAGGCTTGTTCCAAGGGTGGAGCTGGGACTCTGAACATGGAGCACCTGGTCCTTGCAGCCACCATGGGGGAAAATGTGCTAGCTGTGGATCCAAGGTTGCAAAAATGTCCTTGGGGCCGGGAGTTGAGGGTGGAGAGGGGAATGGTTCTGCCACCATATGCAATATCCTGGCAGGGCTGGTCTCCTCTCTGAGCCCTGCAAGGCACCAAACACTTAGATGGCCAAAAGCAGCCACCTAAGTGATTTGCATGGTGGGAGGAGCACACAGGTTATATTTGGCACCATGCATAGGATGCCCATGATCTTCTCGGTTCAGAGGGCAGCCTCTCTGGATGGCACCCAAAGGGGGCAAACCTATGCATAGCATTCCTCGGCCAGCTGAAATCCAAAGCAGTCCTTGGGAGGGCATCTGAGGGGCCAGAGGATGCAACAGAAGTGCTGCTCTGCCAGCAGAGGGGAAGCACTCTGGTGGGCAGCTGCTGGAGGTCCTCTTGGTGTAGCCACAAAGAAGTTCCCTTCCACCGTTGTCCCACTGACCAATGGGAGCTGAAAAAGATGGCTGGTGGGATCTTCAGTTCTCCCATCCACCTGGCAAGATTCCCAACTCTGGAGACTATAGCTAAGTGACCCCCATATATCTATTGTCAATGAGAGGAGAGAGGGGTAGGCTCACACACACAGCCCTTGCTGGCTTGGCTGCAGCAAGCCAACAAGGCTTTAGATACGGCTGTTGCACTGCAAAATCTCCCACCCAACTTCTGCAGGATTGCTTTCCCCAGCTGTCATTTTGTGCCCATCTGCTTGGGATGGAGCTTCACCATACTTATTACCATGAGCCATGCGTAACATGACCAGGCAGAGGACTGCTTTGTCACTACCCTCTACTTGGTCTTTTTGTTGTTCCTGATGCCAGGAGAAGTGCAGGTCTATGGAGCAAATTGTTGCAGAAACATCGCAGAGGCAGAAAGTTAAGAGAGAAAATGGGGTAGTTTAAGATCAAATTAGTCGTAGATCTCTTGCATCACATGTCCGTCCTAACATACACATTGGGGGTGATGACAGTGCCATGGAAGTTGTTGTTGATTATTTATTTATTATTAATTTATACAAGCTTTTAGATGCCACCCTCCATAGCCAAAGTTAAAAGCAAGGTTCTCTATTTCACGCAAGAATGGTTTACAAAGTTAAAAAATACAATATAATGATAAACTAGTAATAGCAATACATTTCAGTAGCAATACATTTCAGCACCTGAGTTAACCAACAGAAATAAGGAATAAAATAAATAACATGCAAAAATAAAAATAAGTATAAACAACTAAATACATAGTTCGTATATAAACAAACCACACTGTCCTGGCAAAATATATAAAACAAGTATAATAATTTTATTAAAATCATCATTGAACAATTAAAATACTGAGAGAGCACAAAAGATTTTGCCTGCTGCCAGAAAATGTAAAGAGTTGGTGCCAGGTGTATATCTCTGGGCAGTGAATTCCACAATCAGGGTGCCACAACTGAGAAGGCCCTTCCCCACGTAGCCACCTTCCTGACTTCCTTTAAAGGCAGCTCCCAGAGGAGGACCTTAGAAGATCATCTTAAGGTCCAGGTAGGCATGTATGGGAAGAGACATACACAAAGAAGGCACTGGTCTTGCCTTCATTTCTTTAAAAAGCAAACCAGGAAGAGCAAGTGAGAATGGCTGAGCATAGCACGGTCCTTTTAAAGCTTATGAAGGCTCCAGAGAAAGGCTTTTTATTTTTTGGTTTCTCTGCTTTATTTTAACTGTATTTCAAGCTCTGATGTAAAGTTGGTTGGTATAAAATAATTACCTTTAGTAATCGTCCCAGTTAATGAATCCCAGGTGTTTTGCTTAGACACTGATGAGTTCAGAGAAATCTCTTGCTTGTAATTAATGGCTTGGATCTACCAAAGCCCTGAGGTGCTTGTGGTTCTGGCCTAGTTTTTTCCCTCACCAGCACCACTGTATCAGCTGCAGGACAGAACTTTTCGTGTAAACAGTGTACCCTGGTCTCTGCGTGGTTTGCAGACCTCTTTTTGGAATATAGCAGCATCTTGGTTCACTGCACTGAAATGGTTGCACACGAAGTCTTATGTTTTGGTATTTACATAAAACTTTACTCTTATGACAGAACATAGTACCAGAGAGTCTCTCTCTCCTCTCCTCCTTCTTTCTCTGGGGCACCAAGATTAAAATGCTTATGAGGAACAGAGATTTATCTTGGCTCGCTTCCTTGTTCTCTCTTCACGTGAACAAGGAAGCCCTGCAGATCCAAGGAGGCCCAACAAGTGTCGTTCTTGGCCCCACCTTCAGCAAAGAATGAGACAGTGGCTGAGTTTT